CTACACTTACAAATTGTTTTCTTTGACCGGGTTAGATGATTCAACAAATTCCTACACTTACAAATTGGTTTCTTTGACTGGGTTAGATGATTCAATAAATTCCTACACTTATAAATTGATTTCTTTGACTGGGTTAGATGATTTAACAAATTCCTTTGCTTGAATTGTTTTCTTTAACTAGGTTAGATAATTCAATAAATCTCTATGCTTATAAATTGTTTTCTTTAACCGGGTTAGATGATTCAACAAATTCCTTTACTAAAATTGTTTTCTTTGACCAGGTTGGATGATTCAATAAATTTCTACGTTTACAAATTGTTTTCTTTGACCAGGTTAGATAATTCAATAAATCCCTACACTTACAAATTGTTTTCTTTGACCGGGTTAAATGATTCAACAAATCTCTACCTTTATAAATTGGTTTCTTTGACCAGGTTAGATGATTCAATAAATTCCTACACTTACAAATTGTTTTCTTTAACCGGGTTTGATGATTCAATAAATCCCTACACTTATAAATTGTTCTTTATTAACCGGTTGGATGCATCAATAAATCTCTACGCTTATAAATTGGTTTCTTTAACCGGGTTAGATGATTCAATAAATTCCTACGCTTGCAAATTGTTTAGGTTTGATAATTCAATAAATCCCTACACTTATAAATTGTTCTTTATTAACCGGTTAAATATATCAATAAATCCCTACGCTTATAGGTTTCTTTGACCGGGTTAGATGATTCAACAAATTTCTTTGCTTGAATTGTTTTCTTTGCCCGGGTTAGATGATTCAACAAATTTCTATGCTTACAAATTAGTTTTTTTGACCGGGTTAGATGATTCAACAAATTCCTTTGCTTGAATTGTTTTTTTTGACTGGGTTAGATGATTCAATAAATCCCTATGCTTATAAATTGTTTTTTTTAACCGAGTTAGATGATTTAACAAATTCTTTTACTAAAATTGTTTTCTTTGACCAGGTTAGATGATTCAATAAATCCCTATGTTTATAAATTGTTTTCTTTGACCGGGTTAGATGATTCAACAAATTCCTTTACTAAAATTGTTTCTTTACCAGGTTGGATGATTCAATAAATCCCTACACTTACAAATTGTTCTTTTTTAACTGGGTTGATGATATCAACAAATTTCTTTGTTTATGAATTGTTTTCTTTGGCCAGATTTGGTGTTTCAACAGATTTTATGCTTTTCTTTGGCTGGGTTGGGTGATTGCTATGTTTACAAGTTATTCTCTTTTATCGAATTGGATAATTCAACAGATTCCTACGCCTAAGTTTTAGTAAATTCGTTGAACTATTTTGTAATTGTTATTTAATTATTCTATAATTATTAATAAAATCATTTAATTATCCTATAATTTCTATTTTATAACTATTTTAATAAAATTGTTGTACTATCTTATAATTGTTATCTAATTATTCTTTAATTATCTT